CCTCTTGCCCGAACTAGAGCCGGGCGGCACAACTGAGATGCGCTGAGCATGCTGGACAATGGCCTGAGATGGCTGGGCGGCATGGTAATAAGAGGGGACTGGAGCCAATGGAATGAGACAGCTCTCGACCTCCTGAGCTCGACTCACGGTATCAGCATAAGACATCAATCCGTGACTTCCCACTATAGTTCAATTAAATCAAGGTGGAAAGATCCTAAGCCCCAAAAATAACAATACTCTACACAAATAATCTCATTGTTACATGTGTACAAATTCACAATTTACTCATTAAGCATTTTCATTGATACTTAAATAAAAACATACCTTAAGCAGTGCGGTATGACGGAGACGAGTGGTCAATACAAGGTCAAAATCACATAATCACAGATAAACCAGTCTACAAAAACGCAGACTGGCTCTGATACCAAACTGTAACACCCCACTTTGATTTTAAAGAAATCTCGAGCTTTCTAAAAACCAGAACAAATTTTTCGAATTCATTTTCGAAAGTCAAGGGCATTAATCAACACAATTTAGCTAGTCCAAGTCGTGACTGGATTCACAGGGATTCTTAAACCCGATTTTTCACAAGGTTTTCATTAACCTGATTCACATCTCAACATAATAATCGATATGAACAATGGAACTTCAAAAATTAATCACCATGAATATCCAAGGTTCAAAAAGGGTTTACCAAATTATTTCCCAATCATTAAGCATAGTTCAAAAACAGTTTCATATGTTCAAAATATGAATAGGGTTCATAAAGACCACATTATTAAAAAGGAAGCAAAATAAAATAACTAATAGACCACCACTCGCCATTCGCCCCGTCATCCGGCCACTACTTAACCTGCATCCGTGAAGAGCAGGTGGGAATGAGCACAAATGATAAAGGAATGCTCACTACTATGCACATAATAACATGTAAAGCTGGTATGGTCGCAGCATGAATATAAATCAATCATCATCATGTCTCATCCCCTAACAATCACAACAATAACTCACTCATGTGCACATCTATCATTAGCCGCGGAAAGGGGATGCATAAACCCTAACGACGGGAGTGCGTGCCACTGTAACAGACACGGCCTTTCATTAGGTCTTAAGGAGACTTGCCTCGCAAGGGCAACCGTACCGTAACTCGACGGGGACAACCGTACCAACGGCCGTAACAGCTCACATCAGTAGGCCACATGGTTCACATTCATACATTGGTCATACCAACTAAACATTAATCAACACGTATGGCATAGACAATTTTATAAGTAAATCCACCTGATGGTAGCCAAAAATCACAAAAAGCGAAGCTCGGTAAGTGGCGAGGTCAACACCTCAAAACACCTACATGAAATTAAGATAGCCTCTCAATTACAATAAATCCAACGAGTACACAAACTTAGTCGAACTCGTCGACTAAGCGGCTCGTGGAAAATTCTCGTGGAGTTATAGAACATTGACTCGACTCGGACCAAGTATGGGAAAAACATATAATAATCAATTAAAGGTTGACCAAGTCAAACAAAACGTCAAAGTCAAAGGCTTTGAAAAGAATCCGAAGACCGGTACCAATCGGGGTACCAAAAAAAAAAAAAACAATTCGAGGCTCGACACTAACAACAAGCATATATAAAACAACATCAAGGGACCACATTACATGGAAGGTTATGAAGGAATTTACACTTAAGCAAAATAACCCGGATTTTTTTCAAAATGTCGATACGTAAGACACATTTGAAAGGTGCCCAATCAAAAGAATGAGTTATGATTTGAAACTTTTACATATATAAAAGAATGTTGTGTATATAATTTTCACCAAATGTTGGCCTTAAACCATAAATATGTGATTTTATAAAAATAAAACAATTTTGCAGCACAAACGATCATGGATTTTATTGACTGGCCAAAAGTATGATTGAGGACATAAAAATTTTATGCTAACAACTATAACATAACAGGAACAATATATAAAAATTTCAAGTATAAAAAATAAACATGTAAATTATGAAAATTATTGCAAGTTTCAGTCAAGAACCCGATTTTAACAAAGCCTTAATAAAAAAATCCTATAATTTATGAAATTTTTACTGCATCAAATACTTGATAAAATAAGCCTAATGACCAAGTTTCATGCATTTATCTTAAGATCTCGATTTTATATGATTTTTCAAATATTCTACAGAAACAAATAATTAATTAATTACCCTAGCAATTCAACTCCAACAATTATGAAACTTTAACACACAGTATATACATAACACAGGAGAAACATATCCAAAATTCATAATTTTTGGATTATTACACGATTTATCATGTATTTAACAAATTTCAGAAACGACCTCGACTTCAAAAATTCATAACTCGGAAAATACAAGTCCAATTTGTACAAGGCCAAAGCCATTGTGTTTCGGACTTCAAAATGTTTCATAATCCAAGAATTATCCACGAGATTCAAACATATGCTAGGGGTTTAGAATTTAAACCCCAAGATCTAAACTTTCACTATAAGACTTAATATATTATATATAATCATATAAATTGAAATAACTCATGAAATCAAATATATTCAGCAAAAGAGCACATATAACACATATATAACACAAAGAACTATTAGAGTCTAGCAAAATACCAGCACCAAAGGGGAGAAAAATGGCTCGGTTGAATCTTACGGGCGGGGAAATCGTCCACTTGGCTCACTCTACGCTGAAAGCGGCTTGTTCGACACGTAGACGTCCAAAGGTTCTGGTTGTTTGGTGAATGGCAGCAAATGGCCCGATTTAAAGTGTTGGGAATGAGGTATAGTGAATAGGAAAATTATGATAGAGATGAAAATTATGCAAAGTGAAGAAAATCAACCCATCTTAAAATGAAGAGGAAAATGGGGAAATGAGGTCAACTCTCACATGGGGACAAACAACATCCCATGTGAAAATGTAAGAGGCATCTTGCATGAAGATAACTAATCACGGTGGGTGGAAACATTAAGGGAAAATCTAGCATAAAAAAATGCATGCATGATTAGTAAAAGAATCTTGACTAAGACTACACATGGTGAAAGGAGTTTGGTGCGGTTTGCTCAGTCGCAACAGTTCGCAAATAAATTAAAACGGACAACAATTCGACTTACGCGATTAAATCAATAATTCAAACGACAATGGATAAAATAAAATCAAACGAGCTATAAAATTATAATATTCATATAATAATATAATATATAACCACAAAATCAAGGTATATATAAATATTAAAAAAATACCATTAATTAAAATAAACTCATAAAAATCTAATATTCGAACGGGGCGCTACAGTCTTACATCGACGGGGACAACCGTACCAACGGCCGTAACAGCTCACATCGATAGGCTACATGGTTCACATGCATACATTGATCATACCAATTTCAACAAAAACATAAACAACTTACGGCATAGCAATTTAAATAAGACCCACCTGGATTTTAGATTGATAACAGCAAACAGAAGAGACGTAGGCCGAGGCTTGACTCCTCAAATACATACATTAAGTCAAGATCCTAAAATCAATACTTATCTTGACCTTAGAAGAAATACACAAATCATATTTGGTCGAACTTGATTCAACCAAGTCGTTCGTGAAGTTCTGTGGACATTGGAACACTCGAACCTTACACTTAGACCCGACTCGACCAATAAAGAGCAAATACACCATTTTAAGATGGTCGGGAAAACTAATGAGTTAAGTTCTGAAACTTTAACATAAAATCCAAATCATTAAACTTAGTAAAACCACCAAGTTTCAGCCCCCAAACTCATTATACACAATTCTATAAAAATTCATACAAGGTAATCCAAAAAACAAACATAAATTCACACCCAGACCTAATAAACGATTCATGAGTTGAAATTGTAACACCATAATCTACAGCTGGTGAATGACAACATATAAAAATTCTAGCCATTAACATCAACTACACAAATTTTAAAAATTCATACAAGTTTCTGCAGTTTTTGAATTTTAATAAAAACCGAATCAATTCGAACTCCAAAAATTCTAGTCTTTTTACAACATGAACATCCACATAAATCAAGCATCTCAACCAAAAATCATAATTTTCTGGCAACTGATCAATTTAACATAATTAAAACGGTGTTCTGCATAAAACTACAATTAATTATTTACCCTAGCAAGACAAGTCTAAAAATTATGAAATTTATATACAACATGCAAAAATGACAGAGAAACAACATGTTAAAAATTCAACTATTTTGGAGCACAACTCAATTTATTATGCAATTAACACGTTTCTGCCCATAAATCAATTAAATTTAATTAATTAAAATAGCTACATATGAAATTCTAAAATTTTTACACGACATGTAATATCAACACAAGACATCACATATAAAATTTCATGGCAATCAAAGCAGTATACAATTTATCATGAATTAAATACGTTTCAGCAGCAAGTCGAACTACAAAAATTCATATACGACTCGAAACTTGACTAATTTGTCCAAGGCTTTCGCCATAAGGCCAAGGACTCACATATGTTCTATAATCCACAGCTTTTTCACGATTTCGATAGGATCTCTTATGATCTCACAAGAACCATCAAAGATCCACACATAAACATATAATATATAAACCCTAACATACTATGATACCAAGGCATGATCGTATGACATAATACACATCAAAGATAGAGGGGAAAGGATAGCCTTGGTACCATTCTCAGGCTGGGATCACGCGAAAGGGTCGAAACAAGGCTGTGTGCGCGCTGGCGGCGCTCGACGACCCACGCGAGGGGCATCTCTTCTTCTTCGCGGGGCTTGCGTACGTTCACCGGGCGTTGGCAGCATACTCGGTGGCCCGGAACAGCAGCAAAGGGATCAGCAGGTGGCGCTGCGGTGTCCGACGGCCGTGAGCCACTCCCGAGTAACTCTGTTTCAGTCCAAACCGCACCCGAGTGACTCCATTTCAGTCCGAACCTGCTACTTGTTGATCGTCGGGCCTGGAGAAACTCATGGCGGGCTGAAGGTGGTGATCGGTGAAAATGGCCCGCGTGGACTGCTCGAAGGACGTCCTTTGCTGTTGCTGCTCGCAGCCGGAAAGCACAACTATGGCGAAAGACTTTAATTCGCTGAAAAAAGCTTGACGGGGGTCTCTACTGCAAACAGGGGTGCGACTCTCGAGGTTTGCCGGCCGCTGAAGAGCTTGGCTTCCGGCTTCATGCTCTCTTCTCCGGCAGGAAGTAAGGGATGCTACTCCCGCGCGACGAAAAATCGTGGACCTCCGATACCGTTCTGCCCATTTGACGACTGAAGAAGGTGGTGGCATTTCGGGCCGCGATGACGGTGACTGTCTTTGTTGGTTGAACTCGCGTGATGTGCTCGGCAGAAATAATGGTGCGACAGCAATTTTTCTCTCCCTTTTTTTTTGCAATGACAAGTACAAAAGCGAGAGATGAGAAATAATCGTGGACATTACAGAGCCTCTGCCCAGATGCACACATATAAGACTGGGAGAACAGAAAGCACAAGTGTTCTTTAAGTACGAGAGATTAATAAACCTCTGCTATTACTGTGGATTAATTGGTCACTTTGATAGAAATTGTCCTAGCAGAATGGTGGCCATAGAGGGGAACAATGTTCAGGAAGGAAAGTATGGAGATTGGATAAAGGCCTCACCAGTACCAACAGCATTTAGCAGAAGTCAAGGAACTAGTACAGAATCACAGGGTGCTCCCAGTGCTAATCCTCAAAATCTCTCAGGGAACTCAGTTACAGAAACACAGAATAATCTCCAAGCACAAGCAGAAACAGGCCAGAATCAAAGACAAATAGTGCCATTGGAGGTAGAAGAAGAAGGTGCAGGTAGTACCCGAGAACCAGAGAAGAGCTTAGTTGAGTATGCGTTGCAAGTAGTCAAACCACTAACCTATGAAGGGGGCCAGAATCAACAAGCTCTAATGGTGGTTCCACAATCAGAGTTCTCAGGCCGTGAGAAGATGATTATTGAGACAGGCATGACATCTCACACACTACAGAATAAAGCTGAAATGGTTGAGGGAGTTACAGAGATCAAAAAAAGAAGGAGGAAGCCGAGTAGCTGGAAAAGATCACAAGCAGCTAATAAACAAACAGCAGGAAGGCCTAGCAGAAAAACAAGTAAAGAAGGCTTATCCTTTGAAGACACAGTTCACAAGAGAGGCAGAGAGGAGGTGTTTCCTACCACATTGGAAGATCAGGTGAATGAAAAAATAAATACAGACAAAAAAAGGAAGATGACTGAAACACAGGTGGTGGTGGCCAGCCTTGAGTGGCCACATGGTGACCAATGAATGCTCTGGTGTGGAACTGTAGAGGTCTGGGTGGGCCCTCTGCAGTTCCCCAGATTAAGGAGTCCATTCGGACCCATCACCCGCATTTTGTGTTCATTTCTGAAACTAAGCAACAGAGAGCTTTTGTAACAACTGTATGTAGGAAGCTTCGCTACAAGGAGAGAAATGAGATTGTTGACCCTGTTGGGAGGAGTGGAGGTCTTATGTTAGTGTGGGCTGAGGAAGTGGAAGTTCTACAAATCAGGAGTCACTATTTTTACAGAGAGGTCCATTTCAGAATGCAGGCTGAAGCTATTACACAATGGACCACCTTTGTGTATATGAGCACTGATTCCAGAACCAAGGAAGATCAATGGAGATATTTGGAGCATTTAAAAAGAGACTGGGGTGACAGATGGTGTATTGCTGGGGATTGGAACGAAATAACCATTGTGGAGGATAAGAGGGGAGGAAGGCCTAGATCAGAGAGGTCTCTGGAGGGGTTCCTAACTTTTATTGCTCAAATGGGCATGATGGAGATCAGGACACAAGGTTACCCTTACACATGGGGTAATAATAGAGAAGTGGAATCTAATCCCACTATCAGGAGGAGTAAGAGCCGTTTTCACTTTGACTATAGATGGCTCAAAAGGCAAGGAATAGCTGAAGTTGTAGAAAAGGCCTGGACAGAGAATCAGAAAGGTACTCCAATGTTCAAGGTCAAGGAGAGAATCAAGAAAACAAGGGAGGCCTTGCTGAAATGGAGTAAATACTTCAAATCTGAAAGAGACAGAACTGTCCAAAGATTGACAATGAGGTTGAATGAGATGAGACAGGAAGCAGGAGTAAGGAATTGGGCAGAGTGGGATCAAATTCACAGAGAACTTGAGCAAGCTTATTGTACTGAGGAAGAATTTTAGCAACAAAAAGCAAGAATACAGTGGCTAAAGGAGGGGGACCAGAACACACATTTTTTTCATGCTTATGTTATGCAGAGAAGAAAGCAAAATGCAATAACCAGGCTGGTAGCTGACAATAACAGATTCTGTGCCACAAATGAGGAGCTAGAGGAGCATATTTCCTGTTTTTATGAGAGACTATTCACATCTGAAGGTTCAATGGGAGGCCAAGAGCTCCTTCAAAATATTCAGCATTCAGTCACTCCTCAAATGAATGAAGAATTGCAAGCTCCAGTAACAGAAGAGGAGATTAAGCAAGCACTATTCAGCCTAAGCCCAAAGAAAGCCCTAGGAGCAGATGATACACATAATGCAAGGGTGTTGATGGATGTGCTCCACAAATACAAACAGTTCACAAGGCAGCTAGTTAACTTGGCTAAATCATCAATTTTCTTTAGCAAGAACACAAGCCAAGACCAACAGCAAAGAGTGTGTGAAATCTTGAGGGGAATACAGCTGCAAACCTCTACCAGATATTTGGGACTGCCCTTAGGCATAGGGAAGTCCAAGAGGGAAGTTTTCAGCTATGTTGTGGAGAAAGTAAGGAAGAGAATTGAGAACTGGAAAAACACTTATTTGTCTGCAGCTGGGAAAGAGGTATTAATTAATGCAGTCCTTAATGCTCTTCCAATTCATACTATGACATGTTGTAGATTACCAGTGAGCATTTGCAAAGAAATATCAAGCTTGTTTGCACAGTTCTGGTGGAGGAATGGAGAAGACAGAACACAAGGCATCCACTGGAAGAGATGGCAGTTGATGACAACTCCAAAAGAGAGAGGAGGTCTGGGATTTAAAGACATAAGTATTTTCAATGAAGCAATCTTGATTAAGCAGCTATGGAGAGTGGTGACCCAACCAGATCTATTGATGAGCAAAGTTATTAAAAGCAGGTATTTTCCACACTCCTCAATATTTTCAGTATCATTATCTCAATCAGCTTCATGGCAATGGAGGTGCTGGTGGAACATTAGAAAGATGTTGCAAGAAGGATTGGAAGTAGTAGTCAAGAATGAAGTTTCTTTGAAGGTGCATGACTTTAATTGGATACCAAGGATAGAAGGCAGAAAACCCCATATCATTGATGACTCCCTCCATAATCAGCTCAGAGTGAAAGATTTCCTGGAGGATAATGGCTGGAACTGGGATGTCAACAAAGTGAAACAAATTTTTAGTGAGGAGGACAGCCTAGCCATATTGGCTATTGATACTTTAAATCCTACAGAGGAGGATAAGTGGAGATGGAGGATAGGCAAAAAAGGCAAATTTTCAGTTGCAGCTTCTTACTCTTACTGATGGCTAGGAAATTGCAAAAACTGGATTTACCAGAAGGAAGCTCAACAGCAATTCAGGAAAGGAAGATAAGAACTAGAAGTTGGAAACTGGGAGTGCAAGGTAAGCTAAAACACTTTGTATGGAAATGCTTTAATGATGCCCTTCCTGTTAATGTTAATGTCAGGAAGAGAGGACTATTAGTGGATGTGATATGCCAAAGCTGTGGAGAGGAGGCAGAAACCATTGAGCATGCCCTATTGAAATGTAGAAGAGCCAAGGATGTATGGAAGCAAGCACTTGTGTGCTGGGATGGTATCATAATGTGAGGCAAATTCGGGTACTCCCTCCGAATTCCTGTCTCCCTCTTCCAAGTCATTTCACCATCGACTTGACTACACCCACCAGACTTTGACGAATAACACTCCCGACCTTTCCCTGATGAACCCTTAGTTCCAACAGGTCACCGGTACCTCCATACTGGCAGGGTTCTGCCTATCCACACAACTCGTCACAATTTACACACACCTCGAGATCACGCACACATTCCCTCCATCATGAGGCATAGAACGTGTCATGCATCCTCGCAAGTTCCGGTGGTGGAGTCAACCATCAGGCCAAATTATTGACTTGGTCGACGAATCACAATAGTATAGACAATCATCACTTGTTCTCAAATCTGGTACATTCAGAACACATGGTTCTGTTTGATATCGATGACAAGGCTTCAATCTTTACTGACACGAATAGCAGCTCGTATGCGGTTTCAGAAGTAACGACTGGATACTTGATAACAATTTCCTTCCACGGAGTCGGTCTCCAATCGAGACTCAAGGCTCCGCCCCATATTACTACGGAAACTACTATCTCGCCATCTCGAGAAAATCTAGCATGCGGCAAAGGAAACTAATCGACAAACCTCATACCCCGAGGGTTGTTGATTAGGAAATCACACAATGGTTCGAAAGATCATTATATACCTGACCAAAATCTGGTTCAAAGATCCCTAAAAGGACAAGGTCGGTCTGGGCTTAAAGCACTGTCACCCGAGAGGTGACACACACGCTGGCGCTGCATATGCGGGGCGCTGGGACGCGTGCGTGTACCCACTCAGATACCAGCTAAAAGGTCAAGGTTTGGCCGTACACACTGGCCCAGGGAGTTCGTGCGTTCGGTGATGTCGGCGGCAGCTCTCGTGCGAGTCAACGGTCGGCCACTGCAGTTGGCCTCACGTCTCTCAGAACGGGCGTGTGGGCTCGACCACCACTTCGCGTGGCTACACCCAGTCAGGTTTGGCACTCGATTCGATGCTCATTCCAGAAATTCAATTTCCGAGTTTCACAATTCTTAAGTACTCTGATAGGACAAAGGGTTTCTCCACAAGACTCGAAACTACAAAGGTTTGGGTTCGACAACATCAATTTCCCCAAAAGGGGTCGAACATTAGGATTACTGCCAGGAACATTACTAACTCCGCGGTCAACACCGAACAACAGAATGGTTAGCTCGTTTGACTCTTCCGACCTACAATGTCGGCCGTCACGATAGCTTTTACTCAGGTAGCTAATTGTACCGGCAGTCCTAAACGAGTTCAACCTCATATACAACCTATACACTTCGAGATCTTAGCGTAAAGCTTCTCTCGTAAGTGTTATCAGTCAACAATGATATAACAACTATCAAATTAATTCACATAAGGCACATAGGCATACACATTGAAGGTAACACTTATTTTCGTAAATATAACTCAAGTTTACTGAAATAACACAGTACAACATTCTATAATCGGTATAACTTGCAACATATAAGTCACATAAGCATGATTCCTGATTAATACGAATCCTAAAACATGTGGTACAATTTTTATTTAGATCACAAAAGCATATAAGGTCATTCAGATGGTGAAGTAGAGCTAACATACAAAACTAACATGTCGCTCGAA